AGTAATGTTTTTTTGTTTAATATTTTGTTTTTTGTAGTTGGACACAATACCTTTTTTTTAATGTGGTGTTGAGGGCCTTGCAGGTGCTAGAGAGTGCTCTACTGCTGAGCCACAACTCCAGCCCTGAAATTAATGTTTTAATAAATCTTCAGAAAATCTCTGTTTCCAAAGAAACATTGGCCTTTAAAAACTAAGTTAAATAAAGTGAAGCATTTCTATAGCAGGGTTTTTAATATTCTAAAACCTCACATATTTGAGTTTATTTTGTAATTCTGTAATTTTGAAGAAAAAAGTGATGACTGAGAGTTACTGTCATGCTTCCTAATGAAACTTCTTATTCCTGTGTCAAAGGAATCATTGGTTTCCTGACTTTGAACCCACTTGTGTCGGCATTACTAGTAATAATTTGCTTGATGCTTTGGCTGGTTTTAAGTTACAACAGGCATCTGATATATTGATTCCTAAAGTCAAGCACCCCTGTTGACAAAGGCTTATCAACTTGTAAGAGCTCACCTATTTTTGAGATTTGTTTTTGATGTCAAGTAGTTGAAACTATTTCAAAAGATATAATTGAATATCTGTAGTATTTGTATTGTTTTATTTTTGAAAGGGAATTTTGTACATAGGAAGACTACATTTGCTGAGGAGTTTTATATTTACTTTCCTTGTAGGATTAAAGAACACAAATCCTACTACTTTAGGATAGGAGATTTAAAAAATGCCTCTGTTAAGTAGTAGTTGAAGAAAAGCCTCAGCAAATCACTATAGTGTTACATGAATAGAAGCACCCTGTATTTAAACTCCCTGACAGAATTGTAGTAAGAAATGGCCTCTGAACATACTTTAGAATAATGAGTTTCTCCCCCAAAGATTGAGAAATGTAATAGTTTGGATAATGATTTAAATTTTGTTTTTTAATTAGTGAAATACATTTAACTTTGTAGAAAAACTAAGCCACTAAATTTCCATTAAATATTTTGAGCTTATGGATATGTTTCAATGTAATTACAGACCAAGAAGTTGAGAAATTATTCAAGGTACTGTTAAACGAACTTATTTTATCAATGCAATTTGCAAAAGACAGGATGTTGAAGTCAATATTTGGTATTTTTGAAGGTCTTTTATTTGCCATGCATTGTGATAAATACTGGGGAAATAAACCTAAGCGGTATCCCTGCTCTTAAGGAGTATGGAAAGCAGTCTGTATTTATTATTTCTGCATTCCACATGAACTACTTATTCATTCTTCTGACTTCCAACCCATTTATTCTAGGTAATAATCTTGCATTATACCTTACAGAAAAAATAGATGCTAATAGTCTTGAAAAAATATCCTTAAGTTATACAGCTTCATACCTGTCTCTCTCTCTCTCTCTCTCTCTATATATATATATATATATATATGTGTGTGTGTGTGTGTGTGTGTGTGTGTGTCTTGATATTTTCTACTTTCAAGTACCCACGCAGGATTGTGCTTCTGGATCCCAGACTTCTTAGGAATCCTACACAATTAATAATTTCTTCTAATAACTTCAGTGTCTTTAACTTCTCCCTTTCTTAGTGATTCCTGTTAGCATTTAAATGTTTGCTTCCACCTTAAAATTTTTTTTTTTTCCTATTTTTCCTCCCCTTCTGGTACTGGGAGTTGAACCCCAGGGCACTTTACCACCAAGCTATATCACCAGTCCTTCTTATTTTTTTATTTTGAGGTAGCATCTTACTAAGTGTTGGAGGCTTTCCAGAGCTTGCCATCTTTTTGCCTCAGCCTCCCAAGTCATTGCTATTATAGATGTGCTTCACCACATCCAGCTGTCAAAACCAATTCTGTTTCTCCCTCTTTTCTTTTATAGCTAAATTTTCCAAAAGATTGTCTATTTTATCTATTAATTAGTCGTATTCTATTCATAACCCTGGCCATTTCTTATTCCTTTCATTTGCCCCACTGACCTACCAGAATCACTCTTAAGATTACTTTACACATTACTTTAAAATGAAAGTAATGTGCATTTTTAGACCTCATCTTGAATTTAGGCACAAATTCTGAAAAAGTAGATTACCTTTTCCCTGAAAGCTTTTTCTTTTTCTAACTCATTAAATGCTAAGATTTTTCAATATACTTGGTCAGAGTTTCTTTCATGTTTCTCAGTTTTACTTCCCATCTGTATTCTGACAACTCAAAAGATTTTTTTTTTTTTTTTTTTTTAGTACTGGGGCTTGAACCCAGGGATGCTTAACCAGAGCCATCTCTGTAGCCCAGCCCTTTTTATTTTTTATTTTGAGACAGGGTCTAGCCAAGTTGCTTAGGGACTCACTAAGTTGCTGAGGCTGCCTTTGAACCTGCGATGGTCCTTCTGCCTCATCTTCCCTAGCCACTGGGATTACAGTTGCCTGGCAGACGTTTTGATTTCCAGCTTAAGCACCAAATCTTCAGTTTTATTTATTTAGCAGTACTTGGGTTGACCCAGGCTGTACTCTGAGTTAACTCCCAGCCTTTTTGTTTTGTTTTGAGACGGGGTCTAAGATGCCCAGGCTGTCCTTTAAGTTAGGATTCCCCTGCCTCAGCCTTCTGAGGCATAGGAACTATTGATATGTACTGTTCTCAGCCTTTAGTAACTATTAGAATCAGACTGTGTATTTAAGATTGCTGGGCCTCACCTCTAAAGTTTGTGATTTGTCTAGAATGGGGCCTAAATTATAAATTGTACTTTATAAATTGTACTTCCAGCAAATTTCTGATGATGCTGGTTTAGAGACTTTGAGAACCACTGGGTTAGAGAAATGAGTTCTTTCACAGTTGGGATTCAATCCCAGGCTTACCCCTTTAATTCACCACCCTTATCCCAAACATAATTCCACTTTGTAGGTATGTCAGATTTTAATATGTTCATGGTAAACATCGATTATCTTCCCCTCCCCCTCCTAGGTTTCCTTGGCTACCATTGGTATATACTCGAAATTTCCCTGGAACTGACCTCTCACCCCAATATTCAGTCTGTTGCCAAGCCCAGTATTACCTACACAAGTGTCAAATTCATCCACTTTTTTCCTTTACCATTCTCATCTCTCACCTGGGTTGCTAAAATAGCTTTCTTAGTGATCTCCTTTTAATGTATTGCCCTCCTTTAATTTGTAACAAGTCATATCACATGCACTGTGTGTGTTGCTTGTTGCCAGAGGATCCAAACTATGATCTCTTATGTGCTAGGCAAGCACTGTACTACTGAGTTATACTCCCCACCCCTGCAATGCTTGGGTTGACCCAAGCTGTACTCTACCACTGAGTTAACTCCCAACCTTTTTGTTTTGTTTTGAGACAGGGTCTAAGATGCCCATGCTGTCTTTAAACTTATGTTCTCCTGCCTCAGCCTTCTGAGGCATAGGAACTATGGACATGTGCTGTTAACTCATTTTTTTAAGGCAAATGAGTTAACTTCCTATTTAAAGATTTTTTAAAATGCTTACCGTAGCCTGTAAGGATCTATACAATCAGTTACACATGCTTGACCATCATTTTATGCGACTTTTTTTTTTTTTTTTTTTTTTTTACAATCATGCAATCCTACTAACCTCTCAGTATTTCAGAATGAAATTTGGTGATTTTGGACTTCATAATTATACACTAGAACCATTGCTGTGTAGTGCTTCATTGTAAGAATATACAGTAATTTATTTGCCCACTGTAAATATTTTTGAATAAGTATCTAATTAGGTAAGAGGTTTTTTAAATATTTGTTTCATTGTTTAATCTTGCGTACAGACCATCAAGGATGGTTGATAACAAAGATAAATGAATCTTTATTGGGAAGTATAGGGGAGATCGTTCACAGGGACATTTTAAAAATGTCTTCACACATCTAAGCATTTTTAAAAATAGAGGAGAGTTTGGTACAGTTGGTATGATACTAGAGCAGAATCAGAAAACTATATATTAATCTACACTAAAAAGTCTGAAGTTCATCCTAAAATCTCTGGTGAGCCATCAAAAATGTTTAAAGACTTGTTTTAGAACAAGAAATATTAGGAAATTAGAAGAAGTATGAACATTTATAATTTGGAAGAAAGGAAGCCAGAAACTCATTTCACTAGTTGACTATTCCAGCAAAGTACTGAAGGTAGTGGAATTGAACAGATTTGCAGGAAATTTCATAGATTTGCAACCAGAAGTATTCATTTCATTAACATCCTTTTTTTTCCTTTACAATCCTATAACAAATCCTTTCCATATATTAAGATTAGTTCTTAAGAATACTTCTTTTCTGAAGTCATTACCTACCATTCTAACTTTAATTTACCTCTTCCACTTTTGAACCATTAGAGAAACACCAGTCTGTCTTCATATTTTTTACTTCTTGGTATAAGCAATAACAGGTATCTTTTTGGATGTCAGGCACTATTATAATAATATTTGGCTTGCATTATTATCCAGTTAAATTCCTATATCAAATTTATGATACAGTGGATTTAAATGAGGAAACTGAGGCAAGTGGTCAGGTAGGCAATAACAGTTAGGATTGGCACCTAATTGACCTTGACTCTAAAGCTATTCCTAACCAGTATTCTGTACTTACTGTTTGCGTGTTCTTGTGGTTGAGAACCACGTCTAAATCTTAAAAATTATCAGTTCATAAATTATTCAGGTATATTATTCTATCTCCTCATTCATATTGAGTAATATTTAATTAAATTTAGTACATCTAACATGATTTTTCACATTAGTTTTCCAAGTACTTTAAATAAAAAATATCAGGAACATGTTAGCATTTGTTGAACGAGTAATTTGGAGAGCATTTAGAAAGACATCAATAAGAAATGAACAGTTCTCGCTGTCCTGGAACTTAACTTTGTTTTCTGTGCCTTATTGTGTTCAGTACATAGTACATAACCAATACTTGCACATGATCCTTTTATTTAATCTGCATAAAAATCAATTCTAAGAAAGTGGTATTTTGGATAGAGGCTATGGTGTGACTTGTCAGTAATATCCTACATGTTATTTTCAGATTTGGATGGTGCTCTACTCTCAGGGCCTGATGGTGATAGGAATATGAATGCAAATTTATTGGCTGAAGCCTGCTCTGGTCAAGATGGAGGTGATGCTGGTAGGTACAGTTAAATTTTTAGCAAGAGTGCATTTAGGAGGGTTTGGGAAGTGTTTGTATTTGTGTTTACTGGGGTCTACTACAGTTTCTTTCCCCTAAGTGTAAAATTACTTTCAGTCTGTGGTAATATTGCTTATGAGGACTTTGGAAATTTGGTAATACAAATTGATGTTTCTGGTTTTGTTTGGGGGGGCTCATTTAGAGTTTTTAAAACTCAAATATCAAAGAAAATATGGCTTCCTGCTAGTGAATAAATGGAATAATAATTACCAGACTGGTACTCTAATGTATTTTAATTCTTTTTGATGCAAATATAATAGTATGATTGTTGATGGTTATAGAAAATGTTGATTAATTCTAAGTAGCAATATTTGTATTGGGAATACTTGGGATACTTGATGCATACAAAGATTCCATGATTATGTTACTAGTAAAATAGAGTTAAAATAAATGGGTTTCTCTATTAACTAATAAAGCTAGTAGAAGAATGATCGAATTAGAGAAATACCTGTTTATTGATTCCAATAGAAATCATTTAAGATCATCAGTGGATGTTAAGCCACTATTGGGCTTGTCCCACTATGATTGGGTGAAAGATTGTTAGGAAACAACATATTCACATCATCTCAAACTCATCCCACATATTTCTTCTAATTTCAAAGGAGAAGAGCTATCTTTTGAGAGATCCAGGGAACAAAATAATAAAAGCAACTATTAAAACTTAGTATTGTTAACAAAGGAACAAACAAATTGAGCTGATGCATTGCACTAGCTGTCACACAACATAACCTGTGTAGTAGTCTTGAAATGTATTTATCCTGAATATAATTGTGAAGGAAATAGTCAGAAAAATCTAAGTAAATCCAGCCACATAGCAGGTAGTCCAAACTCTATCATGTCATGAAATACAAGCTGAGGAACCACTAGATTAAAGGAGACCAGCTAAATATGCAGTATGTGTCTTGGATAGATAAGGGTCAAATAGGATTTAAAGGGGATGGCATTTGGGGAACAGTTGGAAATGTGGGCTATGTGGTATGTGTTAATATTCAATTTTAAATTTCTTGAATGTGCTATGGTTTTGCAGGGGAATAGTCTGATAATAATAGTTTAATAATAATCCTGTATTTAGGCTTAAATTATGTTTTTGTGAGCTTTTTGACCACTGTGACTAAAAATCCTGAAAACAATAATTTTGGAGAAAGAAACATTTATTTGGGTCTCTCGGTTTCAGAGATCTCAGTTGATAGATAGCCAACTTTACCTTTTGAGGTCTAAGGTGAGGCAGAACATTGTGGTGAAGGTGTATGGTGGAGGAAAGCAGCTGGGAGCCTGGCACCGGGAAGCAGAGAGAAACTTCTTTCATCAAGGACAAAATAAATACCCCAAAGGAATACCCCAATGCCTTACCTCCTCCATCCACACCCTGTCTGCCTGCATTTACCCCCATTTAGTCTGTATCAGGGGATTAATGCACTGGTTAGGTTAAAACTCTCATATAACTCAGTCATTTCACCTCTAAACTTTCTTGCATTGTCTCACATGTGACCTTTTGGGGGGGACACCTCTTATCTAAACCATAACAAAGTACAAGTTTTAAAAGTGTATAAAAATGTCTGTATACACACAAAAAACATGGCAAAGTTAAAATTATTAAAGTGTCAAGGGTTATGGATCTTTAATTATTCAACTTTAATTATTCAACTTCTGTATCTTTGGAATCCTTTTCAAAGTTGATGGAAATGAGAGGACATCTAAGGAAATCTATAAACAAAGTAGTTAGGAGGCTCTACACACAGTATACACTAAACAAAATTAAGTCAGTGGTTTTGAAGACATTTTCTCAAGGTGGTTTCCCCTGATTGTTGAAAAGTATTTTAAAAGTTTTGAAATTAGTAATATGGGAATTAGTGATATTACTTTTTTAAAGATTTTCTTTACTTATATAGACAATAGTTAATATTTATCAAGAGTATTTTATTGCACTTGCTTTCTTGATTCAGAAATCTAAAAAGCTAAGATTTCTGACAGTAGTTTTCCAGGTATTTTGGAGGAGTCAAAAATGCTAAATATATTAACTTTTCAACAAATAATTGGAGGGCATATATTTTGCACATTAGATATATAAAGGAGAGAAAAACTTCCTGGAGCCCCAATTTTATTTAGAAACATGGAACTTAAAATTGATAGATTGTGCTCTCACTGCCGCCTCACTTCAAAATTCTGAAAACTTTCTCCCTAATAGTAGTACATTAAAGTTATATTATATATAATTATAGTTTCAGAGTCCTTTTTTTTTTAATTTCCTCTCATAACCTCATTGCCTTTGTAGCTTAAAAGGGAGCATATGCTTGTGTCATCTGTGGCCTCATTGCAGCTCAGAAGTGGGGCCTTTCTTTTTCCATATTTTTTAATTGGTTGGTTATAATTATTTAAGGGTGGGATTTATTGTTACACATTCATATATGCACATGCTGTAATTTGACCAGTATCGTTTCCCAATATTTTCTCTTTCCCTCCCTCTTGTTCTTTTCCTCTGATCACTTAGAGATCTTTCTTTCTTTTTTATATTTTTAGTTGTAGACACAATATCTTTATTTATATTTAGTTGTAGACAAAATACCTTTATTTTTATTTTATATTTTTAATGTGGTGCTAAGGTTTGAACCCAGTATCTTAAATGTGTGAGGCAAGTAAGTGTTCCCCTTGGAGGGCTTTCTTTTTAATTTTTTTTTAGTTGTTGGTAGACCTTTATTTTATTTATTTATACACAGTGCTGGAAATCTAACCCATTGCCTCACACATGCAAGGCAAGTGCACTACCACTGAACCAAAGCCCCAGACCCCCTGGAGGGCTTTCTTGACATCAAAAAAATGGGTGAAATAGGGGCTAGGGTTGTGACTCAGCAGTAGAGCACTTGCTTAGCACATGTGAGGCACTAGGTTCACTCCTCAGCACCACATAAAAATAAACAAAATAAAGGTATTGTGTTCATCTACAACTAAAAAATATATTTTAAAAAAGTGGGTTAACATATCCCAAGGGAAAAAACATTTGGTAGTAACAAAGTATATTTAACAATATTTTAGAGACCTTTTTACTTCTTTTGGTATTGTTTCACCAAAGAGACCTTTTAAGAAAGGTGACATGTCTGGTTATAATATGGTAGCATTTCTTTCTTTCTTTCTTCTTTTTTTTTAATCAAAACCATGTGGCATTCATTATAGAAAATTTTATTGCATATTGAATATCCCTTAAACTGAATGATTGGGATCAATGTTTAAGATGTTGGAGTTTTTGAGTATTTGCTTAGACTTTACTGGTTAACAACTTTAATCTGAAAATCCAAAATGCTCCCAAATCTGAAACTTTTGAGCATTATGTTGGTGCTCAAGATTTTGGGTTTGGGAACATTTCTGAAAGGACAGGTTTTCAGATTAGGGATACTCAACCTGTGTTGCTGCATGAATGAGCTATGCATATATATATCTTAGAAGATGAAAGTGTAAGTTCCTTAAGTAGGAGCCTGATTGCCACGGAGGAACACTGAGGCTGGTATGGTTGAAATGGAATGATAAAGGGCAAGGTGCCAGGGATAAGACTTTGAAGAATAATGGAGGTCTTTTTTGACTTTTTAACATGAATTGAGGTGTGTAGCCCTTGAAGGCTTTTGAGTAGACTGGTGACAGGTTTTAAAAGAATCTGTGATTACCAGGCAGAGTAAACTCTCTGGAATGGTAATAGTGGAAGCCAGGAGACAAGTTGGCAGTCATTGAAAATAACCCCAGACAAATAAAATTTATTAAAAAAAGAAAATAACTCCAGAGGCTAGAATTGATGGTTGATTGGACCTGAGTGGCAATAACTGGAGGATTCTGGATATATTCCTGTTGTTCAAAGATTCTTGGATTCAAGGAGTTACATACAAATTCCTGATGGAAAAAATCTAGAAGAAGGTAATTCCTGCCTGTGTTAATCCACTTTCTGTTCCTATAACAAAGCACCAGAGATTGAGGTATTTTATAAAGAAAAGATTTAGTTAGCTCACAGTTCTGGGGACTTGGGTATTTTTATTCAGCTAGTTTATATTAAGATGTTCTATCACTGCTTATAGGCTATAGATTGTATTTTGTTTTTTGACTGATGAAAGAGATCTTTACTGCCATCATTACTTCAAGCTCACTTTTCTATTGTATTAGGTACTTCACATGATTTCAAGTATGGTTTGATGCCTGGTCCATCAAGTGATTTCAAGTATGGATTAATACCAGGTACTTCAAATGATTTCAAGTATGGATTGCTACCAGGTGCTTCAAATGATTTCAAGTATGGATTATTGCCAGAATCGTGGCCAAAACAAGAAACTTGGGAAAATGGCAAGTATTGGTCAATCAAACAAATTCAGAATTCCTAAAGAATTTTTAAACATTAAAATCTTCCATATTCTAGGCTTTAGCAATAGCCCTATATCATTTACTGTTTTAGAGATACAGATAGAAGAAATTTTGATAGCAAGTCTTCTGTTTAATAATATATAATGAGTGCTCTTTAAATTTTTTTTCTTAATTCTTAAAGGTGAATCATCTCTAATCATGAACAAATTAAAATGCCCTCATTGTAGCTATGTAGCCAAATACAGACGAACACTAAAAAGGCACTTGCTCATTCATACGGGAGTGAGATCATTTAGCTGTGATATTTGTGGAAAGCTGTTTACTCGGAGAGAACATGTAAAAAGACATTCCCTGGTAAGTAACTTTAAATACAACTGATCTTTGAGATAAAATATAGTTATGTCAGTGATGTTTAAAGTATTTTAACAGTTACTTACAAATTTAAGGATGATTCTTAAATCAATTCTTTGTTTAAAGCAATTTATGTGAACTGATGCTCATCTTCATACAGAAAAACATTGGCATATTCACTCATTATTAAATGCATGATTTGAGTGGTTCAAATGCTTTCTATTTCTATACTATCCTTATATTGGATTTTTCCCCCCCTTTAATTAGGTGCATAAAAAGGATAAAAAATACAAATGTATGGTGTGTAAGAAGATCTTCATGTTAGCAGCCAGTGTTGGAATAAGACATGGATCTCGACGCTATGGTGTTTGTGTAGACTGTGCAGATAAATCACAACCAGGAGGGCAAGAAGGTATAGATCAGGGGCAGGATACAGAATTCCCTCGGGATGAAGAGTATGAGGAGAATGAAGTAGGAGAAGCTGATGAAGAGCTGGTTGATGATGGAGAAGATCAGAATGATCCATCTAGATGGGATGAATCAGGAGATGTCTGTATGTCTCTGGATAATTAACTGACCTGCTACTATACTCCTCAAGGATGCTGCATTTGGACATAATATGAATCGACAATTTGGATTGTTGAACTTGAAGGCTTGCAAAATATGGTACATGCTGGATGGTAGTTATGTTGCTGTGAAAACTGTAGGGTCAAAGCCTTATAGCAAAAAAAAAAAAAAAATTATATTTGCACAGGACTATACAGCAAACAACCATGTGGTTGGATTACATGGAGTCCCCACATATTCAGTTAACAAAGTAAAATATTTTTTATTTATAGGATATACAGTAACTATTTGGGTACTATGAAAATATAGTACCTATCCTTAATAGAGCTTACATTCATGTGCCACTTTAACATGAGTGAAGAAAATCCATTTATGGAAGTACAGTGACAGTTGACCCAATCACTTTGTCCATCAAACCACTCAGGCTAGTTTGTACTAGTAGAGTTTTGTTTCTATTTTTATTTTTATTAATTTTATTTTTTTTAATACAGATTTTCAGTGAGGGGCTTTTTCAACCCCAATGGTTCTATTTTCTTGTATTTTTCCATTTTAATTTGCTTCATAACTTAAACCAAGTCTCTTCTAGTCTTAGGTATTTCTCAGTTTTGTGCTGATGGGCATGTTTATAAGAACTGGAGAGGTAATTTATTGGAATGAACTAACTGACTTCCCCCAACCCTTCTTTCCTTTTTTTGACATGAATTTTACTACTTCACAAATGAAGAATGATGTTGCAGAGTTACCATGGTGAAGTTGACAAATACCACTAAAATGATTATGATTTATAAGTAACTTTCTCCTGCTGCTCTAATCTGATAAATGGTTACTATATGACGTTTTCTGACATGGTATTTGGTTTTGGGTATCTGTTACTTTGGCACTATTCTTGTTTGCCTCTTATTATTTTTGCCAGTGTACTATACCTCAGCCTTATTTGAAAGATAGAAATCTGATCAAAAAAAGTCATAGAAACAATAAGTAAAATGATTTGTTTTATAATTTATCCTCCATGTCCAGTTTGGTTAGCTTGTTATGCAATATAAGTGAAATATCAGGTTTTTACTCCTGTGCCCTCTTTATCATTAAAATTAACGCAAAATGTTCATTCTCTTTTGTTTCATACTTACCGGATATTGAGTGTTTCGAAATTATGGTTAATTTATTTTTCCATTCTTCAAAGTCACTACACCTTGAATATAGTCTTACTAGTCCCCATGATTCAACAATCTACGAATGTCTTTATTTTATAAATAAAGTTTTGAGAGGCTTTATTAAGTTCTTTAGGGTACAAAGGAGGTGATATATTAAGTTGTAATTATTAGATTATTTAGCCTGGTGATGAATGAATTGCTATATGTGGAAGTCTCAGAAACATTTCACCTATTATTAATGTGGACATTTATCAGGAGCATAATATATAAGATTGAGGGACATCATTTTCAGCTTTCTTTTAAATAAAAATTGAGTATATTTTCCTATTTTATATCAGGTAACTAAATTATGTTAGCTGTGTGGAAATTTTTGCAAAGATGCTTTGACAGATAAATTCTTTTGGTGCTCCATCTAATCAAAGTTGAAAAGTTGATTTTTTTTTTTTTAAAGAGACAAGCTTTTTCATTGTCTCTGATTTCAGTAGAATAATGGTTTAATGTTAGTGATGTTTCTGCTTGGGTAAATCAGAAATAAAAGGTTAGTTACATGGTAACTAACTTTTTGTCATCTTTATTATAGTTTCCTCATGACTATAAGCCTGACAGATGAACAGTTTGGGTTTGATTTTTTTGTTTGTTTAAAACTGAAGAGTACATCTTATTCTCAGTGTTCTAGACAAATAAGTAAAATGTAATTCTAGTGAGGTCCAAAGTAGAAATTAGTTGGGCAAAGATACTATGAATGAAAAAGTATTTTAAGCGTAAAATGTTCTGCTTTGTGAATAATGTAAGTATAGTATAAAGATTTCTTTCATCCCATTTATCCCCTTCCTTTAAAATAAACCATAGTTTACAATTGGTAGATCTGTCTATATATAAATATATATTAAAGAGCAAAGATATATATCTAAAAAAAATCACCTAAGTCTGCTTTATTAGACTATAGTTCACTTATTGCATAGAAACTGGACTTGGCTTTACATTCTTAATGTACTTTTACTTTTCCTCAAGATATGAACTTATTCTCTTGAAACTGAATTTCCTTTTATTACTTAAATCATTTATGTATATCTGGTAAATTATGACCAAATTTTTTGTTAGATTGCATACAGTAAATTGAAATACATATGTGGTACACTACGGGATTGTTGTGCATTTGTTTTGGTTTTAGTTGGAAACAAGGTTTGATGTAGATGGTTTGTTAATGTTAATTTAAAATATTCTAATTGTCCATTACCTTCAATGTTGTGTTGTGACAGATTTGGCTATATTTTTAGTCATCTGAAATATGATACTTTAAAAGTTTGTTTTTAGGTAATCCAAAGGAAAAAATGTTTATACTCTTGAATATATTAGCCTCAGCCTATATAAAAATTTCTTTGAAGTAAACATTTTACCAGAAACAGAATTGACAGATTTTTCTACTTGCCGTCTGCCTAACTTATTATGTTTCATGATCTCGAGGGACTGCCTTTTTCCCTTCTAGATCTTTTTTAAAAAATAGTTTTAGTACTAAGGTATACTACTGGACGTTTCTATTTTTTTAAGTATATTCTTTTTCTGACTTACAGTACAACAATTTCAGGAAGTTAATAGATACTAAGAACTTATGATTGGTCTTGAGGTAACAATGAAATGAATACTCATAATTTTGTCTGGAACTCTGGCAGAATTATGTGTTAAACATTTGAAGTTTTCTCGTGATTTATATTTTAAATAAAAAATATTTTAGAGCTTTTAATTTTAATGAAGGGGAAGAGTTTAAACTTTCATATTTACTTTAGTAACAGGCCCTCTCAAGTCAAGATCTTATATTTCTTAGGATTCTGAGACAGTTACTTCCATATGGTCTCCTCTTTGTCATGGTTCTTGGCCCTTGTTTTTTTTTTTTTTTTTTTTTTGTTTGTTTGTTTTTATTCACTAGATAATTTTCTGAATTTTAGTAAGCAATTGAGAGTTTAAAAAAGAAACATAGTAGGAAGAGGAAACTGGACAGTAAAGGAGTATCTTTGAAATTTGTGATAGAGGGAGCTCTAGCTGGTTAAAGTTGAGTCATCCTAATGGAGAATAGTGAGCTGAATGAGTTAATTCATTTAAAGTTTTTAGAACACTGGAACTTACTAGTACATAATACATTTCAGTTTAACAATAGATGTGAACCAAGAGGAAAAATAGAAATAAAAGATGGTAGAAAGGAGGAAAATAAAGGATTAGGATTTGGAAATTCATTAGTATGATTTAGTATAAAAGGCCTGAAGATGACTGGAGTAGTATAATATGGGGGATGGTGTGATGAAAAATAGATTTTAAAAACAAATCTTAAAATTTAAAGCTTTAATAAGCTTTTGTTTGTAGGGTTTTCTGAACATAGCATGAAAGGTTTAAATTCATTTTTCTGAATAAGATTCCAAAAGCTACCAGTTTCTTTTGAGTGCCCACACTTGCCATTGTTCTGTATACATTATTTTGTGTAATCCCTATAAAGTAGGTGCTATTGTCTCCATTTTATAGATAAGGAAAGGCTCAGAAATTTAACGCAGCTATAATAAGAGCTGGGATTTGATCAGGTCTGATTCTGAAGCCCAAGCTCTTTCTGGGAGGCTCTATTGCTGCCTCATTAAACAACTTTTTTGTAGAATTCCAGCTCTTTAATGGAGTCTATGGAGATTTATATTTTCCCTACAAAATAGCTATGTTAGGAATTTTGTGAGTATCCCTCCTCCCGTCAATAAGCATCCTTACTACTCTTTCCTCCTGACAAAGCAATTGTTTAGTCACTTTGACTTAAATAAGACACACAACCTCAGTGTAGCATATATTATTAGTGGGCTGTGGCATTTTCATTTTTAAAAGAATGATTTTTAATCTGAAGAACTAGATTTGAGCCCCAGTTTTTGTGCCGTTCAGTCACCCGGATCCTTAAACTTAACTATGGTACATAATATACACACTTAGAACTACAAACAGGCATTTTCTTAGTCACTTTAGGATAAAGTTTTTTGTTTTCCTGCTGTATCCCTGCATTCAAGTGAAGTTGAACAATCCTAAGTAGTATGAAATGTGTTAGGGATAAGCACACATAAAGATATTTTCTAGCCCTGAATTTTATGACATTGTGTACTTAAAATTAGAGTACACTAGCCAGTGAGAACAAGATTCTGGGTTGAGGAGAGAGATGGTTGAGGCCATTATCAAATGGGAGAATCAGCATTTTAAACACTGTAAACATAGAACACTTTCTTCTGCCTGCTGTTTGTAAAAGCTCTCTGGGAAGATCTTTTACGAAGACCAATTTTTTAAAAATGTAATTTACCTACCTAATATAAGTGTCCTAAGACATGTATGTAACTTCCAAGACTGTTTTGTTTGTGTATTTAGAAAATACACAAGAATCTTTATCAAACCTAAAAATATAAACTTGTGAGCACTAAACTGCACCTGGCTTTGTGAATTTTATTGACTCTGGCATTTAATTCAAATTTCTTTGTATAAATTTAGACTAATTGGGACAAGGGGAACACTTTTGGAAACTTTGACTTATGTGTAATTTGGAAATCTCTTGTTTTTAAGTTTTACAAATTTGAATTGTAGAATATTATGAGGGGTTTATTTATTTGTATGTTTTTATATGAAAGTACATAAATGACTCAAACTACCTCCTAGTCCTCAGAGAGTTGCTTTAATTAATTAATAGCAGTTATTTGTGTATTAAGTATATGTCTCATCTTTATTTAAGGACTAGCTACAGGTTTTAGTAAATATCTAAAAAATATAATTTCCTTATAATTACATTTGTGCATAAACTTGGGGGAAATGGGTTAAAAAGCAAAAATGAGCTGCTTTATTCCATATTTACTGAATATTGGACCAATGGATTACAAGTAAATATATAATATAAATATCAAGCCTTTAAAACATTGTTAATGTAGAGAGAATATACTTAAATAATTTTCATAGTTTTTTAATAGCAGAACAAAGTAAATCACAGAATGGTTAGATACTCTGATTTTATTAAAATGAACTTCAGTTTAGTTTGGAGAAGGGCAAAGTGAACAGGAGGTTGGGGTGGTACATAGCATATAATGGCAAGTTATCTTTAAACATCTAAAAAACTGTTGTGTAGGAGAATTATTAAGATTTATTGTAGTGAGCCAGACATGCTAGCACAAGCTTGTAATCTCAGCTACTAAGGAGGCTGAGGCAGGAGGATTCCAAGTTCAAGGCCAGCCTATCTTAAAATAGAAAATGGTAGGGATTTAGGTTAATGATAAAAGTATGGGGTGGGATGTGTGTCAACACACATTCTGTGTGGTTCCAAAAATTAATGATTAGGATAGCATGGCTCAAGATTAAGAAGTAGTTTTTATTACTTAGTTGTAGTACTGGGGATTGAACCCAGGTTGCTGATTTCAGCTATATCCTCAGTCTTTTTTGTTTTGAGACAGGGCTTTACTAGCTTGATTAGGATGGCCTCAAATTTGGTGGTCCTGCCTCACTCAACCTCCCCAGTCAGAATTACAGTCATATACCCCCATGCCCAGCATTAAGCAGTTTTTTAAAAAATATTTTTATTTAGTTTTAGGTGGACACAATATCTTTATTTTTATGTGGTGCAAAGGTCGAACTCGGTGCCTCATGTGTGCTAGGTGCACGCTCCACCACTTTAGCCACAAGCCAGCCCCAAGCAGTTTTTTAAGATGAAAAATTTGGGTTGTTTGGGAGGAGGGATAAGGCAATCTACTACTGCAGATGGTCAAAGTAAAGTTAAAGATTACCTGACAATCACTTTAGCTAAGGCAGTATTGACCAAACATTTCTGTTTCAGAGTCAGTTTTTTAAAAGTGTTGGGACCATCATAATTCTTAGCTTTTTGTTTTAATTAGTAAACAAAATAATTGGCTTGTGTATTGTGGTTATATATAAATATTTCATGAATATTTTCACACAAATTTGGAAAATTTTAGAATTGAGAATTTAGAAGTTGGGTTAGAGCTATAACTTAGAGCACTTGCTTAGCACATGTGAGGCCCTGGGTTCAATCCTCCTCACCACATAAAAATAAGTAAGTGTATAAAAAGAATGTAGAAGTCAAATTTAGCTTTATGGGGAAAAAATGCTACATTAGCTTTTTTTCTCTTTTCAATACAGACTAGATTGTCACAGACCAGATTTTGGAGCTGGCTTAGAAAACTGAATTACTGAATTTATGGTTAGATATGAAAATTAAAAATACTTTAGAACTTAGTCTTTGTTATAATTATCTTTCCGAAGTTTGAGCCAAAGGAGGAAATCTTAAAAATGAACTATAGAAAATTATATCCTGTTAATTAAATTACAAGTAGGCTCCATAACTGCATGGTGCCTTACCAGCTACTAATACTGCCTCCTAACTGTCAACCAATTTAGTTTTTCAAAACATGACCCATTCTTAAATTTGGGAATAGTAAATGGGCTAGAATCTTAGTGAAAGTTACAAAAATGGCTTTTTGGGGGAGGTGGGGGTGGTATTACCAGCGATTGAGTGCCTCTGCACTCAACCACTGAGCCACATCCCCAGCCTTTTTTGTATTTTATTTAGAGACAGGGTTTCGCTGAGTTGCTTAGTGCCATGCTGTTGGTGAGGCTGGCTTTGAATTCTCAATCCTCCTGACTCCCGAGCTGCTGGGATTACAGGTGTGGGCCACTGTGCCTGGCTACTGTCTGACTTATTGGTGAGAGTACAATAAATAAAATGGCTTCAAGATAATTACAGAATTACTTAGGTTGAAAGGGACTTTAAAATACTATCTAATGAAGATTATCCACAGAGGTTACTATAATGACTTTGCAGTCAATTTTAGGACATGGGAATCCGCTTCCATTTCAGTATTTTTCTCTGTATCAAACTCAGTTAATAATTTGAAATCAAAGAAAACTGAAATTAAAACTTTGCCAAGTATATTCAAAGTACCTGGCACATAGTCTGTGCCCCCAAAGTATTTACCTGTGAATGACTAAAGGTATAGCAACTTTTAAGGATTTTGGTAGTTTTTATCAAGTGACATGTAGGTAACAAGTGTTTCCAAGCCTATATGGGGATCACACTGCACTTTTGGGACTCTTTCCCCATACCTAGATCACACTATTCTACACTGTGATGACCAAACCCAACTTACAGCAAATATTGCCTTAGAGATCTCAAAAAAATTGTGATTGATTGTTACCTATAACTCTCCATATCAGAATACTTAAAAGTATTAGTCATGCTGCAAAATAGCTGTTTTAAAATGATGACTGGAATAGCTACCACAGCACCTAAATGCTGAGCATGGATATACATGTGAAAAACTAGAAAGAAATCCCTATTTGAATTTTGATGGTACATCAATAAAGATTTACAATGTTTTAGTTTCCATTATGATTT